ACTGAATAAATATTTTTTTAATTACAAACAATTTTGTGGCCCAATTGACACAGATTTTCTTTACATCCGATGAAGAAACATTTTTTCCCAAGGTTCAATATTTTATACCTATTACGGTTAAAATCATATCCAGTACGTGTATGAAACTTGATTTTTTTTCATGAAATATTTGCTTGCCCTGACAATAACCAATTTTCTTTTCTCTCTAAGTACCTCATGTTTTTGATATTTGCAGAAATACTCAAATAATGCTGAAAGGTTTGTTGAATGTTCCATTCTAACTTCCTCTGTTTCCTTCAATAATTCAAGTGATAGAAATTTCATCATCTGCCTTAACATTCCTAACTCTGTATGGATTTTTAAAACTACCCTTCTTAGACATCTTTGCTGTGTCGTGGAAATGTGCTCTTTCACGTGGTCTTGAGTAAAAAGTTGAACCAAATTATAATAGTAGTGACAAGATTCCTGATCTAGAGAATCTAACAAGTATTACTATTGTAAATCTGTATCAGTCCTAACAAGCCGATGATGAAAACTGTAATACTACAGCAGAGGCGTAGCGACCCTTCCCGGCGCCCGGGGACAAACTTTCGATTTGCACCCCCCCCATCAAACTTTCAATTTGGCGCACCCCCCTAAGGTCAGCGCCCGGGGACATATGCCCCCCCGCCCCCCCCCCCCCCCCGCTACGCCTCTGTACTATAGCGAAAATGCAAGGCAAACTGACACTGTAAAAAACATGTCAGTGGCTACAAAATATACAAAAACAACCATAATAAACAGCAGCACAAGCCTTTATTCATGAAAGAAAAAGATATAATTTCATGACGAATGACCATTTATGTAAAAGATACAGGTTAATAAAATTAATGCCTATATGTTACGATTATTTAAAACTGGTTTTAAGTGCATATAAATTTGTATCTACATTTTTTCATTTCTTTTTTACTTAAATAATAATTATATATATTATATAACAAAAAAGTAAATTTTAAAAGAACAATATTATAAGAAAAATTTAAAAAAAAATCATTTGAAGTATGAAATAAAACAATGATTACTGGTCTTTGTTTTAGTGCTTTTTATATTCGTCTCCCTTTAACAAGAAATCTCGCGATTTCTTCTGCTCTCCGATGAGCTATCAGTTTTGATAGATGAACAAAGTGACACTGCCTAGCGACCGTAAGAATTTCTAGGATCAAGCTTTTACTTAACATCACTTTTTTTCCTCTCCTAATCCTCAAAGTTGTGGTGTGTTGGTAGACTGGTAGAGAGTAGCAATCGACATCTTGATGTTCGGCCCAGTGATGTTTTAATTAGGAAAATATCTAGTAGGTTTTCTTTACTGATATCTCCTGGGAGATGAAATACGATGCTTCAAAGAATCCTTGTCTGGGGTGGTTCACTGTCAATGACTCCAAATATCTCAGTTCACATACGGCATCAGCAATAATTTTTAAAATTTGTCAATGACTTCAAATAACCTACGTAATAGAAATGTACTCAAGTAAATATGAGTACTGACAAAATCGCTTAATAAAACTAATATAAAACCCTTTATTATAACACGCTTTTAAATGCACTAAAAGCTAAGAAAATATAACAATCTTTCTTTAGTAAATGCGCTAGTCGCTCAAAAGTTACATAGTTAAACGTCCAAAGCTTTGTGCCAAAGGTGTGCCGTTTCTTCTAGTTCCAAAACAGCATAGGCAACATTAAAAACATTTCAATTCAACATGGAATAACCTTTCCCCATATGGCTAATTAGTAGTCGTTTATAAAACACAACACAAACACGTTTTGTACAGTTACATTGTTACACGTTTTTATTCGTTATATTTTAGTTGTTGGTTTAGCACAGGCAGAATACATCAGCCGTCCCCCCTGCTGTACACCACTCCACTCCACTCCACTCACCCCATCCCTCTGTCATACACAACTCTACATCACTCACCCACATCACACCCCCTGCTGTACACCTCTCCAGGTCACTCCAATCCAGTCACCCCCCATCACTGTGCCATACACCACTCCACTCCAGTCACCCCCACCCCTCTGCCACACCACTCCACACACCCACATCACACCCCCTACTATACACCACTACCCACATCACTACCGGAAATTCTCACACATGTAAACACATAACATTCGTTAGAAAAATAGTTCACAAATTACTTCCACAAAAAGGATATTCATTAGAGTTTAAGGCATGAAAAACGATGGTTAAAACCGCGTAATTAGTAATTAGCTGACGAAAATAAGTTGATAAAATACGAGATAAATCTTCCCTCTCCCAGTTTTTAAAATAATGTCTGTCCCATTACCTGCTAAATTATGTGCTCTGGTTGATTATCTGATGAAATAATTATTTTATTACACGAATTATTTTCTTTAAAACGATAACGTTTTTATTAAATATAATTATCGCCTCATTAAAAATAGAGCATCTCTGGTGATGTAACATCATTTAATGCAGGCAGGTGGCGGCGAGTGGCCAGATAAATATTTCACATTCTCGGTCAAAAAAAAAGAACGCCATGGTCTGACACGATAGAAGTCTAGTATTCGACAGTGTCAAATGGCTGAGACTTTCAATGATCTTAACACAATCGTTTGTTCTTTAATACCTTGTTGAAGGCTTCAGTTTCAGGCTCGCTGTATTGAAGCCTAAGACTGGGTGTAGAAAGAATTTGTTCAATAATTTTGAAAGAAATATCCCAATTTTGTTACAGCCATTGAACAGCCTCACAGAACTGCTCTACTATTAAAAAACAACAATAATAACAAAACAAAAAAAAACCAACCAAATACATCTGGGTAAAATATTTCTATGTACATTTTATTATACGACATATCCACACTTTATTTAGAGTTACGTGAGATATCTTTCTTACTCTGTACAGTGATACATCACACTTGTGAGCCAACACACTCGCTTTTACCTCACACCCAACCACACACACAGATATATATATATATATATATATATATATATATATATATATATATATAAGATATAGCTTAATTAGCCAGGCCTTCTATTGGCTGGTTTTCAAATAACATCACTGCATTTCTTACTGTTGAAAACACACACACACACACACACAAACACACACACACACACACACATATATATATATATATATATATATATATATATATATATATATATATATATATATATTAATATATATATATATATATATATATATATATATATATATATATATATTAATATATATATATATATATATATATATATATATATATATATATATATATATATATATATATATATATATATATATATATATATATATAGATATATATATATATATATATTAATATATATATATATATATATATATATATATATATGTATATATATATATTAATATATATATATATATATATATATATATATATATATATATATATATATATATATATATATATATATATATATATATATATATATATATATATATATAAACACGAGATACGGCAGATATCTTGTCAACTTTACCTTAAAAATCATCATCCTCCTTCTAAATGTTTCTAAAAATACTGACCAATAGTAATCGAACATCGTTTGTTACAGATATTGAAATAGTTACAAGTCGCTACCTGCAGAAGATTTGTGCGGGATTGTTCAAAACCCACAACATTTCAAGGTGTCCAATATATCTCTAAAAACATCAGAAATATTTATTAGAAAACTAGAACATTCTTTCACCAGCCACATAAAGTTTCTTCGGGCGGGGAGGGCCGTGTCCCCTGGACAATTCCCCCCCCCCTCTCAAATGAAATTGAAAAAATATATAATTTTTACATTTATATTATACCTCAACCACTGTCCACCTCACCCGCCGCACCCCGGAAACTAAAGTGCACCTCTACTTAAAAATTTCAAGTGCCCCCTCCCCACTTCCGGAAAAACAATGTCTGAAAGAAACACCGCATGGATTCAGCTGGTAATTCGCCAACATTCGATTGGCTCCAAGACTCAGTGAAATTGTTCCAAAGTTAGGTCCTTATTAAGAAATATTTAAAGATCTAATCAAAAAATCATCCATTTGGTTACATTGTTGATCTTCCAATAATAATTTAGATTCATTATTTACATGAGTATTTGTCTTATATACAAAGTTAAACTCTGATTTATCAACACTGACAATGTATTTTATACATGTATATTATATATATCACACACATATATATATATATATATATATATATATATATATATATATATATATATATATATATATATATATATTTTAATATATATATATATATATATATATATATATATATATATATATACATGCTTTTTATAGAACATAAAGCAATACACATGAACATGAAATAACAATTGACATGAAGCACACACAAAACAGTAACACATCTCAAACACAAAATGGAGCAAGTTTTGGTTTAGTGACCTCAATGTGTAGACAGTGTTTCACATGTTAGAGAGAGAAATCTTGGCTCTGTTCGTAGTTTGTGGATACAAAAATAGACTCTTGGCTTTAGTGTCTCATGAAATGATTATCATGCAGGCTTAGGCTTAGTTGTGTAGTAACATGACAGCTATGGTGTCCTGACTGTCTTGTGATCAGACATCTATACTGTCCTGAATGTCTTGACTATCCGGACAGTTACACTGTCCTGACTCTCCTGACAGCTATACTGTCCTGACTGGTGATCAGACAGCTATACTGTCCTGAATGTCTTGTCTATCCAGACAGTTACACTGTCCATACTCTCCAAATAGCTGTTGTCCTGACTGCCCAGACAGCTAGTGTCCTGACTGTCCAGACAGCTACTGCCCTGACTGTCCAGACAGCTACACCTACCGTACTGACTAGACAGCTACTGTCGTGACTGTCCAGACAGCTACTGTCCTGACTGTCCGGACAGCTACTGTCCTGACTGTCCAGACAGCTACACCTCCCGTACTGACCAGACAGCTACTGTCCTGACTGTGCAGACAGCTACACCGACTGCTCCGCCGTGTCGGAGCTGAAGCCGGTGTGCATCTTGTGAAGCCGGGGCGAGCTTAGACCGTCCTGCTGGTAGGACGACTGGAGCAGGTGCTGGTAGCTGTGGGAGCCGGAGGTCACGCCCCCTGACACGTGACTTGGACTGACGACTTTGTTGCCGTTGTTGTAGGCGAGCCTGTTGCTGATGCTGTAGCGGTGGTACTGCGCCAGCTGGTTCTGCTGCTGTAGGCTGACGGTCTGTCTGCGAGTGGCCCACACGTCGGTGCCGACTTCAGTCGAGTTCGTCGCAGGCATCGAGTCACGCCGGTTGCCTGGAAATTAATTAATTAATTCATTAATTAGATCATTGACAAAATTATCCTTGGAAAATGTCTGCAGCGAAACTAATTTTTTTTTTAGAGTAGATTGTACTAAAAAAGCGAGTTGTGTTGATAATGTTATTCTTGTTGTGAGAATTGATTCAATTGTTGATATCAGTAAAAAATTAATGTGGTTTTGAGTAAAAAAAATGCATATCAATATTCATAGCGCTCGCCAATCCCATACATGTTAACTCAAGCTTGAAAATAAATTTTGGGGAATTTCTGTCCGATTTATGACAAACGTGTATAAAAATCAATAGAAGAGGCTTAGAGCTGTTTCATAATTGTAAGGAGTATTTCCTTTCCCCTATCTTGCACTTTAAAGATTTTCTAAATTAACAATTTCTTTCAAAGGCTACAAGGAAAGAAAAACAGAATCGTCAACAGTGGGATACTTGGTAGAAAGGTGGGACAGCAATATCAACAATGGAAGGTTTGGTAGACTGGCTAGACGGAAATATAAACAATGGGAGGTTTGGTAGACTGGCTAGACAGCAATATCAACAATGGGACACTGTCCAAGATCTGCTCTAACAACTAGACCATGTCTGTCCTATAGACAGACACTGTCCAAGATCTCCCCTCTGATAAACAAACTTAATACATTGAATCACACAACACCAGTCTTATCTATTTCGGATTTCCAATTTTTTTTAAAGCCATCTATTATACCACAGATGATTGAATATTTGTCTGCTTTACTTAAAAATAAAAGAAGGAAAATAGGATAAATGTCTTGTCTACATGGAAGAATTGGCGTCACTAGGTCGGGTGTCACCCGTTTCGGTGAGGGCGTTACCCCACCCCCTCATATAATTTAGCTATTTAGTTTGGTTTTACCCCTAGACCCTACCATTTTAAATGAATAAAACAATTTGATTGTAAATATTATGTTTTTCAGATGTGGTGTCGCCACGTGCTGAGCCCCCCCCCCCCCACCCGCCTCGTGACGCCACAGCATTGGAGTCAGACGACGCCAACGTAATGTGATTTTATTGCTACTCACAGCAGTTGAGGTGGTTCCTGAAGGCGCGCTTGAACTTGACGGACATGATGTTGTAGAGCACCGGGTTGATGGCGCAGTTCACGTAGATCATCGTGCGGGCAAACAGCAGGAACCACATGTCCGTGTACTTCTTGAGGGCGAAGCTGTTGTAGACCACAGCCGCACGGTAGGGCAGCCACAGGGAGGCGAACGACGCCACTACCACAATCAACATCCGCACAACCTGGGGGGCAAACAAAGCAGAGTTCTCATACATTTGTTTGACATGATATGGGAGAACAAAGCATAGCTCTCATAAGTTTGTTTTGATATGATATAGGGGAGCAAAACATAGTTCTCATACGTTTGTTTGATATGAAATTGGAAAACAAAGCACACTTCTAGTACATTTATTTGATATGATATAGGGTAGCAAAACATAGTTATCATACATTTATTTGATATGATATAGGGTAGCAAAACATAGTTATCATACATTTATTTGATATGATATAGGTTAGCAAAACATAGTTATCATACATTTGTTTGACATGATATGGGAGAACAAAGCATAGCTCTCATAAATTTGTTTTGATATGATATAGGGGAGCAAAACATAGTTCTCATACGTTTGTTTGATATGATACAGTCCGAATATTTTCACAGGCTTAATTATACATAAATAAAACTTAAATATTTGCTTTCAATAAAATGTGTACTTCTAAAATTCAAGAAAAATTTAGCCCTAAAAAACATGCATGCCTTAATACAACGGACAATGGAAAACAGGTAAAAAGTAAATAGCAGCATTAGCACAGGGTGCATGTCTGAGGACATTGTCAGTGTTGTTTTTGTCTGATGATTGTCACGAAAAGTGTGTATCTCCTCCCCCCGGGCCATAAACAACAATCCCGTCCCCAGCGTCCTAGTTCGCAGATATTTCAAACAGGAAGTTCCTATTTCCCAAACCACTTTAGTCTCAGATGGCCGGAACTAGGGGCGGGATGGGGTCTGGTCCAAGTTTTTTTAATTAGGTGGGGGGGGGGGGGGGGTGCGGTGCGGTGTGTGAGAGGGTGGGGTTTGGTCCAAGTCTGTGGAATTGGGGGTGGGGAGTGGAGGGGGGGGGGTAAGGTACGGTGTGTCAGAGGGTGGGGCCTGGTCCAAGTTTGTTTAATTGGGGTCAGCTTGATGAGACCAGTTTGACGAGACTGAGACCAGCTTGATAACATGAGTTTGATGAGAGACCAGCTAGATGAGACCAGTTTGATGAGACCAGTTTGATGAGACCAGTTTGATGAGACCAGTTTGATGAGACCAGTTTGATGAGACCAGTTTGATGAGACCAGTTTGATGAGACCAGTTTGATGAGACCAGTTTGATGAGACCAGTTTGATGAGACCCGTTTGATGAGACCAGTTTGATGAGACCAGTTTGATGAGACCAGTTTGATGAGATCAGTTTGATGAGACCAGTTTGATGAGACCAGTTTGATGAGACTAATTTGATGAAATGAATTTGCTGAGACCCGTTTGATGAGACCAACTTGATGAGACCAGTTTGATGAGACCAGTTTGACGAGACCAGTTTGATGAGACCAGTTTGATGAGACCAGTTTGATGAGACTAATTTGATGAAATGAATTTGCTGAGACCCGTTTGATGAGACCAAATTGATGAGACCAGTTTGATGAGACCAGTTTGATGAGACCAGTTTGATGAGACCAGCTTGAGACCAGTTTGATGAGACCAACTTGATGAGACCAACTTGATGAGACCAACTTGATGAGACCAGTTTGAACGGGCTCATGTTAAGAGACCCAGTTGATGCTACCCACTTGTTTAGCCAGTAAATATGTCCAGGTTTTCCAGGGAACTTCAAGAATCGTTTTCCTATTTTTCATCCAACTTTGCTGATCATATGTCTATCCTTACAACGAAATTTACTGATCGAATTCCTTAGCTTTGAAGCATGGCTATAATTTAGCACGCGATTTAGGGCTTGGAAAGGAAGACATGTTCTAGGATTTCTTTGGGTAAATCACGTGCATGCCTCGTCATTTGATTAGAGGAATTGTGTTGCTCCCTCTCACGACGTGGGCGGGGGCCACCCCACACGCACAAATATCACAGCTATGAATTGTGTGTGTGTGTGTGGGGGGGGGGGGGGGGGCTGGGGGTCGGTATCTGCCAGGTAGATTTTTATAAAAGCAAATATGTTTTTTTTTTAAAGCGTGAACAGTTTTCATGAGATTAACGGAAAAACTTTGCTCCATGAGAAGCGATGGTTTTTATTTGCGATCTATTGGATCATTCATCGTCCGCACACTTGATCGATTAGGTGGTGATGTCATCGTCATGATTAAACAATAAGAGATAATTAACAAATTCAAAGTTAAAAAAAAATTAACACGATAATTAATTAGTCCGCAGAATGGTCTATTAGAAAACAATTAAACAAACAAACAACAAACAAACAACAAATAAACAAACAAACAAAACAAACAAACAAAAACACACAAACAAATAAACAATGTCAGCAAGCATATAAACAAACAAACAAACAAATGGTGTACCTTGACAACAGTGACTTTAGGAGTTCGTTAATTTGTTAATCTACTTGACCATAAATTACAGCCAAAGACGGTGGTACAGGATTAAAACAGTATTAGCGGTGTACTCTGAGCTGGTTTAGTGTCTTTAGGGAATACCAGATGTTTCATAGACACCCACACACCCTCCCATAGACACCCACACACCGTCCCATAGACACACCCACACACCCTCCCATAGACACACACACACCCTCCCATAGACACACACACACACCCTCCCATAGACACCCACACACCCTCCCATAGACACACTCACACACCCTCCCATATATACCCACACACCCTCCTATAGACACCCACACACCCTCCCATAGACACCCACACACCCTCCCATAGACACCCACACACCCTCCCATAGACACCCACACACCCTCCCATAGACACCCGCACACCCTCCCATAAACACCCACACACCCTCCCATAGACACCCACACACCCTCCAATAGACACCCACACACCCTCCCATAGACACCCACACGCTCTCCCATAGACACCCACACACCCTCCAATAGACACCCACACACCCTCCCACAGACACACCCACACACCCTCCCATAGACACCCACACACCCTCCCATAGACACACCCACACACCCTCCCATAGACACCCGCACACCCTCCCATAGACACCCACACACCCTCCCATAGACACCCACACACCCTCCCATAGACACCCGCACACCCTCCCATAGACACCCACACACCCTCCTATAGACACACACACACCCTCCCATAGACATCCACACACCCTCCCATAGACACCCACACACCCTCCCATAGACACCCACACACCCTCCCATAGACACCCACACACCCTCCCATAGACACCCTAGCATTGACACCCTCAGGGTGTTGGTCAAAGTTTTCTGGACTTGTTGGTCAAAGTTTTCTGGTCAAAGTTTTCTGGACTTGTTGGTCAAAGTTTTCTGGACTTGTTGGTCAAAGTTTTCTGGACTTGTTGGTCAAAGTTTTCTGGACTTGTTGGTCAAAGTTTTCTGGACTTGTTGGTCAAAGTTTTCTGGACTTGTTGGTCAATGTTTTCTAGACTTGTTGGTCAATGTTTTCTAGACTTGTTGGTCAATGTTTTCTAGACTTGTTGGTCGAAGTTTCTGGACTTGTTGGTCGAAGTTTCTGGACTTGTTGGTCAAAGTTTTCTGGACTTGTTGGTCAAAGTTTTCTGGACTTGTTGGTCAAAGTTTTCTGGACTTGTTGGTCAATGATTTCTAGACTTGTTGGTCAATGTTTTCTAGACTTGTTGGTCAAAGTTTCTGGACTTGTTGGTCAAAGTTTTCTAGACTAGCTGGTCAAAGTTTTCTGTACATTTAGCTTCTGTTATACAACCTAGATGACCTTGACCCAAATAAAACGTCATCAATTTTCCTGCCAGGTTCCAGCAGAATTAGTAAAGCTTACATCAAATTTTGCGGAACATTCTATACTTCAAGCATTTTCCTCAATAGCCTAGTTTGGCTTCCAGTTAGGATGTCTCTTCTAAGTCTACTTAAAATATTTTCCTGCATATTTGGTCATTCACCTGACTTGTGTAAGAGCTTATTCTAATATGTCATGTTTCACATGATCTCTGTCTAAAAATCATGGTATTTCAATCTAGTTAAATCTAACAGAATGCTTGGCCAAGTAAAACAATGTGATATAACAGACAATTTATTGAATGAGCAAAATGTTTTGGAAATGTCAAACTTTTATCAATATTACAATCGATAAATAAACGATGGCAAAGTCCTAAAATATATCTTTAAAAAAAATCCTTCTTTTCAAGATCTTTGTATATGTCTTTTGAATCACCCGAGGGATGATTCAGTAATATAAGATTCCTTTGTAAAGTCAGATATTATTGGGAATAACATCGACAGATGGAAGACATTGCAAGGTAGCCTCGGTGGGAGGTTTATGCTTGCTTGTCTCCCCTGCCGGTTCAATATCCGTCTCATGGGGGATAACTCGCATTGAACGGGTAAAGAAAAGAAAATGGTTAAATGGATAAGAAGTTGTTTCCCTTGAGAGAGTCGATCTTCTATATTAATGGATGTGTTTATTAAATAAAATAACTCCTTTTGTAAATATGATATGTTTCGGTGTTCCAGAATGTTCGAGTTTAAGAATTGTGTCATGTAGGCTTGGACCCAGTTGGCAGCTGACGACGACTTGTACTGTTAGCCACGTCAGCACAAGTCTTGGTGCCGGTGCTAGGGGAGTTCGGCCATCACGGGCCATTAGGCGCGGAAATAACTTCTGGTAGAACACCGGAAGTAATTTTTTGGTATCTGGTCAGCAAGTAATCAAAATATGAATTTTCTCGACAAAATGTGCCGTGCCCGTCCCGGCTCATTCTATTTATAACTCTAGACAAACCAGGTGATTTATGATGAAATAAATTCAATCTTCAGCTAGAAAATACAGTCAGCAAAAGTACAGGCTATACCGCTGTGAGGGTCCAGCCGAGCGGTGTAGGGCCGTGGCTTTTAGCCTGGTTCGTGACTAGAGGACTAGGGCTCGATTTAATGATTCAAGTACAAGCATTAGCATACAAGCATTAGCTAGCGTCGACATGATTGGAGTAATCAGCTAGCGTCGACAAGGCTAAAATGATTGGAGTAATCATTTAGCTTCGA